GAGATAATGGATACTGTCCTGGATAACTCTGAGTCCTGTGGTGTTAAACTGATCCCTGGTGACCGCCTTCGGGACTTAGAGTACGCCGATGACATCGCTGTGATTTGCGAGTCCTCACAGGCCTCCCAGCATGTGCTGCTCAGACTGGAGATGTCCGCCGCCCAATTCGTGTTGAGCTTTGCCCCTTCCAAATGTAAGGTCCCATTACAGGACTGGCCAAGCGCATGTCCTTCCCTCACCCTTTCGGGGCATCAGGTGGAAGCTACCGACAAATTCTTTCATCATGGGTTGTCTTAGTATTGGCGGTTTGACAAATGAGATCACCCTGCGTGTCTCCAAGACTAGAGTCGCTTTCGCTAACCTTCGTCACCTGTGGCTTCGTCGTAACCTCAGTCTCGTTCTCAAGGGACGAGTTTATAATGCGACGGTACGAGCGATTCCGCTGTACGGCTGTGAGACGGCCCGTGCGCAAAGAAATGTTCAATGGCTATCTGTCTTCGATCACCGCTGCCTGCGAAATATTGCTGGTGTGCGATGGCAGCATCACATCAGTAATGAGGAAAGACGTCGGCGATTCTTCAGATCTAACGAACTCTGCCGATCAATTGATATCATAATCTCACTACCGAGGCTTCGCTTGCTTGGACATGTACTTCGCATGCCTACCCAGCGGCTGCCACGACGAGCCCTATTTGCGAGCAGAGGAGTGGCTTGGAAACGAGGAAAAGGAGGGCAATGTAAAAGGTGGATCCAATGCGTTAAAGCGCAAACGCTGAAGCTGTCTGTTATTGGGCTTTCCTGACTCCCGGGTTGGAGCCGAAAGGACCCCGAGCACACCTGGTTACAAAAGCTGGAGGATATGGAGAAGGACCGTACGCAAAGGCCCACTTGCAGAGAGACTCTTCTACTCTAACATTTGTTTTCCCCTTCACGCTATCTTTTTTTATGTGTTGTCACATTCAGCCAATTATCTTGTAATTGGTATAGTGTTGAACATATATATATATATATATATGCACTACATCGGGGAATTGGAGGAAGACTTACTTGTGGTAACTCCGATCGAACTGAGAACCGTGTTATTAGACCTTGAGCCTTTTGTGGTATTGGAGCAGCAATTGATTTTCTGGGCTGTCGGTGTCGTTTTGCTTGCAGTGTTGCCAGTCGTTCTCCTCAGGTTTGGAGCAGCATTTACTGGGGCGGCCTGAATTGAACAGTCCGCTTTGCTTACCCCAACTGTGATGATTTTTGTGATCTTCGTTTCCTCAAACTTAACAAGTACCTGGTCGTAGTTGAGGTAATAGGAGCACGCTTTTGACTGTGTAATAGATGTGCATTTCACGTAGAACCAGAGAGAAGCTGCTTTGTTTAATAATTTAGTCTGGCTAACTTTCAGTCGGACGCACTTCGCATAGAAAATCTTGCAACAGTTGCGACACGGAATACCCCCTTTGACAAGTTTGGCACATGATCCACATATGTCTTTAGGCTGAGGCACGCTAGGCATCGCGCTTGTTGAGCGAATGTTACGAACCTTTAGAAGGACTTACCTTTGCTGCTTATCAGTTATTCTCGTGTTTATGACGTTGGCAGCAAGGTCACAGTGTTCTCTTCGCACTTGGGTGTTTACAAACTGTCCTCTCGCGTGGCAGTCGAATACCTCAGCGGGCTCGTGAGGCAGATCACACGAGGGTTTAATATAGAATTTTCCTGGTTGGACCTATGAAGCATTCCACGTAAACTTGTAGGAAGTCTAGGAGGGGTTTGCTGCGGATAGTCTAAATTACCTTGAGCTGCTTCAAACAATATGGGACTTGTACGAGTGAGAGTATCGAGTAAGACCAAACAATGTCTCTGATGAATACTGAATACTGTATTTTGGAGCAAGTAGAAAATAATTCTGTACAACTCCATCGGTTGATAATCAAAAACATTTTAAAAACATAAACACGGTTACGCTACTTTTGAAGCTTTGGATATCGGCGAAACACTGTCCGGAATTTAGATTTCAGGGTAAATGCAGGATGCGCCATGGTATACTTTAGAAAGTGTTATCACGAGGTAGAACTTGTACAATCAGGACGATTAAGTGTAGATCCAGTGAAGTGCAACAAAATGCGGCTGAGGAACGGTGAACGCGACTGGCCTACACGCAGTGGTGACCGGACTCCACACTTGATCCCAAAAGATAGCTAGGCTAAAGGTACCTCGTTTCCGAGTGGTCAAGGGCATTAGTTAGTGCAACTAAGGCTTATTTCAGAATAAACACTCGCTTAAACTATAAGCTATTCAAGTGTGCAATGATCAAGTAGAACGTTTATCTGAGCGCATCTTCTTAATCCTCATCACCCTAGCTTAGTGCTTATCGTCCGGATCGCGTGGCACGTCACGTAATGAGCCAGTCCACACACTTAGACTGAATTGATCTCTTATTGTATCAGCCTTCCATACCTGCAGAGATTTCACAAAGTAAACTAATACAGAGGCCGGTAGTTCGCGGAGATATCATTCTCCCTTACTGGATGCTGAATGAAAGCGAGCATCCATATACGTCACTGCTGACCCTTGACCCTTACAGACAATGCCGAGGCCACCAACTGCAACTTGTGACGCAACACTCCCGTTTGGATGGTAGAAAGTATTTCTATTCTCTTAGAATGTGTGCCCACTGGAAAGCGCTACCAACAGATGTAGGGAACGCAATAGACCGCGACCTTCGGAAGACTTTTAGACTTTCGTCTTAGTGATAAACGATACATAACCGTGTGATAAATTTTGGTGTTTAAACTACTGACAATTCACGTTCCATGCTGAACTTTTTTGCTTTTACTTTACTTTGCGTTTTCTAACTTGTGGGGCTTGTAACGTAATATTTTTTATCCCTTCGTGCACTACTGAACTATTGTACTATTGTAGAAAGTAGAAGTCACGATTAAAATACACGCACAATAATATGCCTCGACGGGGAGTCGAACCCCGGTCCACGAATTTCCGGTAGCTCAGGTGGTAGAGCAGCGGACCGGAAATTCGTGGACCGGGGTTCGACTTCCCGTCGAGGCATATTATCGTGCGTGAATTTTAATCGTGACTTCTACTTTCTACAAACTTTACCCTACTCACAAACGTCCAACATTATTGTACTACTGTTTGCTAGCCAAGATCGTTACTTTTCTGCACTATTCCATTCAGAACACACCAAGTTTGGTTGAGGTTCTGGTCCGGCAAGCCGTATGAACAAATTTAACGTGCTATCTGACCGGATCGTATGGTCGAAATCGATACCATTACCATAACACCATAATGCTTACTTGTGGTTTCATAAATACGATGTAACACGCTCCCCAGTTAAATGCTACTTAATTTTTGACTAGCATTCTCCACCATTGTATACAATGAAGCAAAAATGAGGCGAGTATTGGCGAACGCACTTTCCGGTGAGGCGAAGAAAGGTGAAAGGAGCTCGGTCGGTAAGCAAAACTAGCTATCCAAGGCTTGCCGAGGAAATTGCAATGGAACTAGGAACCAAGGAACTTCTACACTGAAACTGCACTAGGGCTACATTCAGCTAAAGTTAGTCTAGTAGCTGGCGAATGTGTTTTTATGCCACCGAGGTCGAATGCAATCCAACTAACAAATCGTGCTCTTTCAGAGTCATTTATGTTATACGACATTTCAGACAGCCGCCCTATTTATAAACAGAATCGGGGACAACCATCGGCCGTTTAGGCGTGACTTATGATACAGCAGCTAAGGAGGAATCATAAGATTATGTTGGGTCATAACGGCGAACATATCACTAGAAATAATTGTTCAGATTCTAACTACCCACGCCCTCTCTTCTATTGGCGCTGAAGCGTCAATTGTGCAACCAAAACATTGTCAAGCGGCCGAGTGGTGGTTGGAGAATGCACAAACCAATACTGTGGATCGCCATCTTCATCTTAGGGAGCATTATACACATTGAGCTAAGCATTACGTGTAGATCAGTCGGGGAGAGACAGGTACTAGACATGGTATTACTTCCAACCATACGACAGCATAAGAACTGCGCGTTTGGGGCTCAGTACGGACAATAACCATCGTGCAGTCATGATTGACCATTTGAGTGGTTTGCCGCTATGGTATGCTACTGTACAACAACTGCTACTCGCTCAAATGCACACAAAGACTCCAGGCCATTGAACTTTATGTTAACACACTTACATCCTAGCAGGCGCATAGTAGAAAACTCGTATCCTCCTCCTCCTCCTCCTCCTCATCCTCATCATCATCGTCATCATCATCGTCATCATCATCATCATCGTCAGCACCATCATCCTCCTTCCTCGCCACCTGCTCCTTCTCCTTCTCCCCCTCCTTCTGCTTCTCCTTCTTCTGCTTCTACTCCTTCTTCTTCATTTTCTCACCCTCCTCCATACACCTTAGCTATGAATAATAAACACCCTTTAGCTTATATGCTACAACACAAAAGTGACCTGATGCACGAAAAGAGAATAGAAACATTCCAGAATACAATCTAACTTTAACAACATAAGATCACGTTTGGCATTATACTGTGTCAACTGTAAGAACGCGGTTGGAGTGGGGAAATATGCGAGAGCTGGAAGGGGTACGTAATTCACAACACAAATGCCATTTGATCCGGCTTTTCGCTATGTAAACTATTGCATGGAAGCAGACATGTTCATCGTCCTTGGGACCCCTTACCTGCGGTAGGGCGGTACCAACCGAGGCCAAGTTCGGCTTGAGTGTCTTCAATACCACTTGCTAAATTCATTACTTTGCCTCCTCTCCTGTTCTTCCACCCATGCCCCGGGCGTGTAAATAACGCACAACGCGGGAGTCATGTGAAGGTTGTTCGCTGGGTTACCTAGGTACTTTTCATTCTTTCGATTATTAATGTTTGTCTGCATTTGTGTTTTGTCGAACCCAGTCGTTTCAATCACGCAGACCAATTGGCACACCAAATCGCGCATTTTTCCTCCAATCCCTACCCACAGTTGGGCGAGGTGAAGGTGAAAACTCGCGTGCTGGAAGAAGAAGCGTTACAGTTCAGAGAGAAAAATAACAAGCTGCGCTCCCATCTCGCGTTGGTTCAACAGGAGCGAGCGATGACGCAAGCTTTTCTACTGGAACGGCAAAAAGAGTGTGACTCGTTGCAACACGATTTATGTTTGGCAGAGCGTGAGATCGGTCGAACCCGTCAAGATTTGCGACAACTGAAAGAGAAGCGAAAAGAAGTCAGTGAGCGCATCGGAAGTTTTGAGGTGTGTGGAAAGCGTTCAACTACAGCATATGCATGTTGTTGTCAGTCTTAACTGAGATTTCTTTTAGATAATTGCTTTTCCGGGTTGGGGTTCTTTACTCAGTAGTCAATAGAATGCAACAAACCCAGAAAATCAAGGTACTTAAATCCAATTTGCTTAGAGTAATTAGTTCACACAGATACCAGACAGTGAGTTATCACCTTAGATCAGAAGACCGCAGCGAACGGTACAGTTGCAGTGCTCGCGTTGTAGTTCCGATAGTCAGTACACCTTGCTTACTACTTGGCAACCAGAAAAGTGTCGTTCCTCCTTTTCATAACCGTGACGAGCACTGCTTTCTCACCAGAGATGGTGAAGGGCTTGGGAAACATCCCAGCTCTTGGGGCGCATAGGTCACGAATTCGGTCAGGATAGAGAGGGGTGCGGTGTATATCTGCCTCAGCTTGCTCTCATAAAATAATGTGAGCAACACGGGGCAACTCCAATCGTCAACAAACTACCACTCGTCCGATGACACCGTAACTTGATCACTGCGACAAGCTGTTCGCACTAATTACTGAAGATCTGTTTTAGCCGGTTTTTGACATTCAGTTTATGCACAAGAGGTATACCAGTATGCCCTAGCCTTATCACACGCAACGGTGTCTATGATAATCATGGTATAATTTTCACCCATTTAAGGTTAGAACCTAAGTAGGAATGATAAGTAAATAATGTGTCAACTGTACGACGTAAGGGCGCTTCGCTACCACGGGACCAGCACCAGTCGCGCGCGGGCTGGGTATCCCGTGAGGGCGCCCACCCCTACGCGGATTCGAACAGATGAACTTCTGTTTGCAAGCCAGACGTACAGACCACTAGGCCACCGGCCGAGATGTGGTCGGAGATGTGGTCGACCTTTACTTTAGAAAATTGGTTAAAATAATTCTCTGTTAGTCACCTGGCTTTCCAGCGGAGCCGAGCTGAGTTGTGTAATTTGAGCAATTCGAAGTATTCTACTACATCAGCTTTTGGTAACTGCAATGTTATGCTGGTAGACTTGCAAATATAAAACGTACTAAATGTATATATATATATATATATATATTGGCACTAAGCTTCTTACATTTGGCAGTCGATATGGATTGACAATGCTGCAAGAATTCCAGAGTACGGCAGAAGCCCCTACTTCTCAAGTACTTGGAGAACGACGCCATCCAACATCAGCATATGGGATTTGAATGATTTTACAACTACAAACAAAGTGTTGTTTGTTTACACCTGAAGTAGATTAGGATTTGCATTTTTACCACAACGCCCTCCTGTTTCATCCGTTTTCATGGGTTCCTTGCTAGAATCAAATATTTACCAAATCAAACGAAATGAACTCTATCAAGTCGCAGCTAAACGAGGACCAGCATCTCATCGATGAGTATTTGGACGCGTGCGAAGATGATGTCCGGTTGCGCGAGCGCCTGGAAACGATGCGTCAGTTGGACGACTCTCGTTTCGCGGTAAGTTTGGTAGCACGCGATATTTCTACCGAATTTGTGTGATAATTCTCACTTTTATTCCATATACAATAGTTGTTGCCTCCTGTATCCAAGGTTACTGCGAATAGTTCAAAGATCATTTCGCAAAAACTTGGAGCCAACTTCATACACTACTTACTGAATCAAGGTGATGAACGAAACTGGGTTGCTAATTGCTGAACCTATCAATATTTACATGCTTTCATCTTCCTTCTCCATGTGTATATTAACATGCACCAGCCTCCAATGTGGGAGGTTTCTCACTGTCTCACTTGATTCGTCTCTTCTGGAACCCCTTCAGACAGGCTTCGAGCGTGTAAATGACTATTGATTACATCGAAGTTTAATCGCGATATGATTAAACAATACATGTCTCAGACGCTTCACAAACATACACTTAAGCTAGGTCTATTTTAAGCTGGATAAATTTCATTCCCCTTTATTTGGTTTATTCTGCCTACATGCATAATCTTCTATTAACTGGCCATGTTGATTACAATAATTGCGCATATCTTGGCTAACTTTGTTGCGTTTGTAGTATTTTTAAGTAACTTGTGGACCTTTCTTAATTATTGCGGATTCGTTGCCAACCAACTTATTTCATTTGCTAATTTAGCGGAGTTATGTCACCCTATCTCTATGCATTATTAGAATTATTTTATTTCATCTCGTCGTTTCCAGTGATTCCCCTTCAGGTGACACTAGCAGCACTTTCTCATTGCGCCTATCCGGTGACGATGCAGCTTCGAGCACCGGCCAAGCTGGTGTTGGTATTGCCCTGAGTCCCCGCACTGAAGCTGCTCTGGTTGATTGGATTCCAATCAGTAGCCGGATGTGTGCGGTCCGATTGGCTGGCTCGTTCAAAACTTCGAAGTCGAGTGGGACTAACAGGTGTCTATTCGTTATCGCTGCCTATGCATCGACAAACTGTAGCGATGACTCGGTAAAAGACGACTCCTATCGCCAACTGAACGAACTCCTTCGCCAAGGAAGAAGCTCGGACACTGTAGTGCTGGCTGCTGATTTGAACGCTCAAGTTGTAAAATTATCCACAGATGAGCTGCATCTTGGCGGCCAACATGGTATAGGCTCCCATAATGATAACGGTGAGCGGTTACTTCATTTGCGTGAGGATGCTCGCTTATTTCTTGCGAGCATTGATTTCCGACACAGCATCTGCCGGAGGGTGACTTGGCGCCCACCAGCCTAGAACCAGCTATGGACGCAAATCGATCACATTGCTATCAGTTACCGCTGAAGAGGATGTGTCCAGAACTGTCGCTCGATTTGGAGCACAGGTGTTGACACCGATCATGCACTTGTATGTGCTGACCTGCGGATGCGCTTTGGCGGACGCCCGCGACAACGTTGTGAGCGCATTGACACCGGCAGACTGGTGAATCCAGCTGTTCTGAACGCCTATCAAATTACGCTGTCATCCGAGTTGGATAAACGCTCACTAGATGCAATTGAAGCTCATTGGTCTCATATGCAACAGGCCTTACTAGCAGCAGGAAAATCCTCATGTGGTATGTCTAATCGCCAACATGGACATTGGGTCTCTTCACAGTCCCTGGAACTTATAGATGCTCACCGGCATATTCCGGCTGGAAGCGAACACATCGAAACACGCAAAGAGCTCCGGGCAAAACTCCGTGCTAGCCTGAAGAGAGACCGCGAATCCTGGTGGTCTCGTCGTGCATCAGAGATGGAAATGGCCGCTGCCCTTGGTAAGCATCGTGTGTTATTCCGTCTTATACGGGAAACGGGCAGCAGGAGACCTGGTGTTAGTGAAACTATACGTGACGAGAGTGGACAGCCTATCCACAACTTATCAAAACGCCTGGAACGTTGGGCTGAGCACTTTGAAAGACAATTCAATCGGTCGGAATTGTTACATTTCTGGCCGACCAGTGATCGCCCTGCTCCGTGGGCTGTTCCTTTGGATCCACCCTCTCGCTCAGAAGTCGAACATGAGATTGGACTGTTGAAGTTAAACAAAGCCGCGGGACCAGATGATCTTCATCAGGCCCTCTTCAAATTCGGAGGACCTGCTCTTGTGGATGATGTACACGAGTTACTAGTGAAACTGTGGGAGCGGGAAACTGTCCCAACCGATTGGAGCCGCTCCGTCATAGTCCCAATTTTCAAAGGAGGCTCACCATCGGAATGTGGCAGCCATAGAGGAATCAGTCTGATCTCCATCGCCTCCAAATTGCTTGCCTCTATCATCCTTCACAGACTGACTGGCACTCGTGAAAGCCAGATTCGTGAAGAGCAAGCTGGATTTCGTCGAGGTCGTGGCTGCATTGACCACATCCTCACCTTGCGTCCGTTGTTGGAGCACCGTCACATATATTATTGGCTGCCCAGCGTTGTCGTGTTCCTCGATATCAAAGGTGCATTCGGTTCGGTGGATAGACATGCATTTTGAAACTGTCTACTCAAGAAAGGTGTACCTGAGAAATATGTGAATATTATCCGAACATTATATGCGCGTAGCTCGGGCAGAGTGAGGGCTTATGGCAAGTTGTCGTCGCCCTTTCATATCTCCAGCGGCGTGAGACAAGGATGCCCGCTGTCACCTTTCCTCTTCAAATTCGCTGTTGACGAAGTCATGGAAATCGCGTTTACGGGACACGACTTAGGAGGTGTGGAGCTACTCCCAGGAGAACGACTTCTTGATTTAGAGTATGCTGATGATATTGCCCGGATCTGTGACAGCTCACAAATGTGCTATGTGGCACTGGACAGATTAGCACTAGCTGTCCGTCACTTCGGGCTTTGCTTCGCACCCTCGAAGTGCAAAGCGTTTCTCCAAGATTGGTCTGGACCGCCTCCTACGCTGACCCTTGGTGGGGATCAGCTAGAAGTCGTTCAAAACTTCAACTACCTGGGAAGTTTTATCAGCCCCCTTGGGATTGAAGATGAAATCACGAATCGTATAGCAAAAGCTCGGGGCGCTTTTGCTAATCTTCGCAACTTATGGCGCCGGCGCGACATCACTCTTGCCCTGAAGGGTAGAGTGTACAATGCAGCAGTACGTTCGACCCTACTGTACGGTTGTGAAAGCTGGCCGCTTAAAGCAGCGGACCTGAAGAGGCTAGTTACGTTTGACCACCGTTGCTTTCGTAATTTAGCTCACATCTGGTGGAAACACCGCGTGAGCAACGAGCGTGTTCGACGCCTTGTTTATGGCACAGGAAAAGGAAATGAACCGCTCAGCACCGTTATTTCACGCATCAGGCTCCGATGGCTCGGCCACGTGTTATGCATGCCGGCCCACCGACTTCCGCGACGTGTGTTGTTTGCGCGCCGGGGGTGTGGATGGAAGAAAAGGAGGGGTGGCCAAGCAATGACTTGGTCGAGAGGAATGAAGACCCTCACTTCTGAGCTGGCCTCGGTTGGAGCGTCTCGGCTCCCTGGTTGGGGTCCGAAAGCCGATGAACACGTTTGGTTGGACACACTTGCTGAGATGGCTAGGAGCCGACCTCAGTGGCGTTCGTGCTGTGAGTTTCTTTGTCCCACCCCATCCCTCTTAGCCTCCTCCTCCAACCACGATCTCATTACTTAGCCTTATATAATTTTGCATAATAATTTTTTTGGTGCACAGTAGCCGGCTAGTAGCTTACCGGAACGATGTCCATCCGTTACCGGTAGCTTAGCCAGCTTGCACCAGTTTCTTTTTTTCTCTCTCTCTCCTTTTTTCTATGTATTGCGGCACAGTAGCTGAGGTGTTCCCCACCTCTAGCTAACGTGTATGATGATGATGATTCCAGTGATTGGCTGTTACTTGATATCCCCGGTGTGGCTGCGCTTGATGTGCATGTTGACAAGGTGCCTGCCTGTCTATTACCCACTACCTCGTCCATACTGGCTCCAGGAGACAGTTGGTCGTTACTGGAAGTGAAGGAGTGCACGGTCCCTGTGGTCGTGCTAGGCTCGAAAAGTGATTCCATGCACTCAGTATGGAGTGGATTATGGTCCAGCCACCGCCTTGTGTGCGCTGGATTCCCAAATACAGCGTGATTGTGTTTGCCTGTGAAGGAGTGTGGACCGGCTCCGTTGATGAAAGGTGGCCCCCATCCACATGCCTCCCGATCTTATTCCTTCGAGTTTACATTGGATATGGGATGTGTGGGTGGTGCAGCGCAAGCCACACATGGTCCCTTTATAGGCGCAGGCGTCCTGTGGCTGGCCACAGTGACAGGCAAATGCGAAACCGGATGCCGCCAACCATATATATATATATATATATATATATATATATATATATATATATATATATATATATATATATATATATATATATATATATATATATATATATATATATATGCTGAGGCATCCGATTTGCGAATGCTTGTCAGCGCGGTCTCCAGAGGGACAGCCACAAGATGCCTACGCCTACAGAGCGACCATGGGTGGCTTGCGCTGCACCACCCACAGCTCCATCCACACACCCCATATCCAGGGTAAACCTGAAGGAATAAACCCGGGAGGCATTTGGATGTGAGCCAAGTTCCATCAACGGAGCCGGCCCACACTCCTTCACAGGCAAACACAAGCACGCTGTATTTGGGGAATCCAGCGCAAATAAGGCGATGGCTGGACCGTAGTCCGCTCCACACTGAGTGCATGGAACCACTCAGTGTTTCTAACCCCATCACAAGGACAGTGCACCCCCTTCCCTCTAGCAATAACCAACTGTCTCCTTGAGGGAGTATAGACGAGGTAGGGGTTAACTGACAGGTAGGCACCATGTCAACATGCACCATTAGCGCTGCCACCTCAAGTGTCTCAGCAAAGGTATGCACTCCATTGCACACATTCCACTTCGGCGCAACGCCTCCGTGTGTGCAACTCTGTCGCACAAACCGATGCGCAGAATCCGTCGCAGACATTTTTGATGAAACTGCTCGAGATATCCCAGATGTTGACGTTACATCCACGTATCGTTGCCGTATAGAAAAACGGATAGC